TACTATTAATCATTATCTAACAATTGAAACTAGAGAAATTAAATTTAGATAAACAATCATTCTTAAGACAACTGTGTATATATTTATTAAAAAAAACTTTTTACTGAAACGCGCTTCCCGAATTAGTAAAGATCTTTATACACTGTACCTATATATAATTGTTCTATTTGTCTGTCTTCATATACTCAGGCATGTAATAATTATGTTTTTATTTGTTATCGTTGTGTGCATTTATACTGAAAAATTGTGAAGAGATTAATGAATTCAGTTCAGTTCAATCCAAGAAATAACAATGTGTAATTTAATTACCCTGGGAAGTTCATCTGGCGATGGAGTCTTGCAGATTCGTCCTATAAAAGATAGGTTTGTACCTGATTCTTTATATCGTAATTTTTGAGCATTTAAAAATTATAGCATTAATTCTATTATTTCATTCATTAATGACAGAAAAATACGTTACTAAAAAGGGTCATGGCATCATTGATGTAATAAAGCAATCATAATCGAAGACCAATCTTGTAATGTAAGATAAAATTTGTCGCCATTTAAATATATACAATTAAGTTTATGTATTACTGTAACAGTACAAGTTTTTGGCAAAACTGAGAGCAAAAAGTTAGATTATTTTACTGCCCCTATCCATGCTTTTCAGTATTACAGTATATGAATTAACAAAAAAGCTCTCAGTGTACATTAATTCTTAAAATATATAATTAGTCCTCAACAATTGAGCGGAAATTACCACACTCCTCTTTCTTCTCCGCAATCTGCACGTGCATCCACATCCTTTCGAAGCGCAGCCACATCTACAGTTTCGTCGCCACCAGCTTGATTCCACTTCCTCCACGACCAGAAGAGACGTAAAAAGCACAATACAAAGGAGTATAATAGTCCTCATCCTACAAAATAAGTATTTAATTGAAAATTGAAATCTAAAGTTTTTTTTAAAAAATCCAATCTTAACGAGGCCCGATCTAGTTGAAAATTACGAAAACGGAATGATAAAAAATTTTAATTCTTGGAAATATACTTGTATGTTTTATGCTTAGAAAAATTAGAATGAAATTTTGTTACCTTGCCTTTATTGTAGTGAAATGGGGGCACTGTCAAGATATGGACCATTTTTCTTGTTTTTATACACAATTACATACTAAAGCTCCTCAATAAACAAAGAAATTTACAAATTAAAAAAAAATTCATGATGAAATTCTTTGTTTTTCACATATATCATGCAATTTTCATTCCTCTTATAAAAAATGAAAAGAAAATTGGCGGTAGCCTTTATTGCAGTGAAAAGGGGGCATGTCAAAACACAAAATTTAGATCTATTCTATCCAACTACGTATTTTATAGGTCGCAATAGGTTAACATAACACCAACAAACGAATACAATACTGTATTAGTTTCTAAAAAATAAATAATTCTTACATTATGAAATTATTCTCTCGCCATCCTTTATTTTTCTCTTAACACGCAACGTTGTTTTACGTGGAAAATAGGGGTAGAGGGGGGGGGGGGGGCTAAAGGCGACAAAATTGCGATTTTTACTAATGTCATGTAATATATATAAAAAGAAAATATTTCGGGGGTTCAATTTAAATGATTTATAGACTTTTAAAAAAAAAAAAAACTGAAGATAATCACCATGCATATTCAAGTCCGCAATAAAATGAGTGTGTATAAACACTTCAACATGTTCAAAGAGAGAGACTAAAATCGTTTACTTTTAGTAGCAGCGTTTGTTTTTTTAAACTCACAAATTGAAATAAAACAGGATAAAATTAATGAATCTGTACCAAAAAATTGATCCCTCAAAATTAATAAGGTTCCAAAGTTGTTTATTAATTTAAATATTTAAAAAAAATAATGGAAATGCCAGCTTTCAATGCATAGTCTATGGAGCAACCAGGTAAGCAAGATCAGCGAAACAGTTTAGCGCAATTTGACGTCATTTTAATTGTGACGTTATTATGTTCAATTGTGACGGCAGGCAAGGGTATTGTGACGTGCCTGAGGCGACGCTGCGTTAAAACGTATGCGCAGATCAACTAGATCGGGCCTCGTTAATTAATACAATTATTTCGAAGAAATTCGACAGATTATTTGTGAACACTGTAGCACAACAATTAAATTCTCAGACTGCATTTTGAATGAACAAAACATAAGAATTCTCAAAGAATATTAATAAAAGCATATAGATCTATTAATTTTGTCACTTCCGTTAATGGAGAACTAACTAAATTAAAACAGAAGTCAGAATGTGTCTTTAAAAGATATTAAAACAATTTATTATAATTGTCCATTTTAATTCGTATTTATAGCTGAACATGATTCGTAAAAGGAATGTACTCGCCATTTTTGATCGGACTTTCGCTATATCTGATAACCTTAATATAAAGCACCTGACTAAGTCACTCTTCAGTGTAATCAGTCAACACCTATGTAGACGGACGTATGTTAGACAGCACTCGGTAGCGACAAAATAACTGTAATACTTTTAATGCAAGTAAGGTATCAAAGAAACTTCTAATAGTTGTACAGGTCAGTGCAGTATACAAACAAATACAATTGAAATATATGGAGCTAACGAACAGTATTCAAGCTCAAAAAGTCTAGAAGAATTAATTCAAAATAGGAGCAGAACACGGACCTCCAAAAAATTAGAGATAAATAATTAGAGATGCAATAAAATGTATACAACGTAATTTAAAATGAACAAGCACGAACATGGGTCGCCGATACCCGTGACAATAAAGCAGTCATATCCTTGTGTTGATATCGTAGATGTGATATCGAAAATGGCGTATGCCTATTTACGAGTCGTTTTCAGATTTAAGCATGTATGTCAAACGAGAAAATAATCAAGGAATCAAATTAACTTGATTTTTGAGAAGAACCCTTGACGTGTTACTTACAATCAAGCAAAATTTTATGTTAAATAGAAATTGCAAGTTTGAAAAACAAACAAAAAACTCTAATTCTGTATTATCCTAGAAATTGCCAATCGTATATCCATTACTGGATATCGTTAAATTTGCGGAATTGTGTACTCGGGCATTCCCTGCAACTTTCTTTTTTAAAAAAATCAGCAAAAGGGCATGCACCACAATCTGCTTTGAAATTCTATTTATAGAACCTCAATAAGAGCAAAAATGTTCATATTTAATTGCCATACACAAATCAAACATGTGCTGTATTTCGAGTTTATTTTCAAGTTGTGTTTTTTTATGTTCATCTTATAAAGACAATTAAGCTACATTAAACTGTAAGAGAAAATAAACTGTGGACAAAGCAGCGCTAAAGAATTAACAAAATGTACAATAAGAAATGATTGTTAAATACATTAATATAAAAAGGAAACAATTTGTTTTAAAAAAAATCCCTTCATTCATTGCACTTTACTTGTATATTTTAAAAACTATTTATTTGTATCTATTCATATCATTTTATTTCGACTATAGTTTAAATTTCCCACATATACAACAGTACTTGTTAAATAATACATGTACAATAAAAGTCATTCTTACGTTACCTTTATGTTGCAGATTGGCGTTGTCTTTAATTTTGAGGGAAATTAATGTAGTTATATAACAGTTATGATACAATATGTCACCTGTAGTTATCACGATTTGTTTTGGATATGATAAATTAACACCTGATGATAGACGAGATAGCAGCAGCTTTGATTCAAGAGCAATCCAGCTTCTGTAACCATCTTTTGCATTTTTGGGACGAATGATCACAAATTTTGATGAAACATAGCTTATCATTACAAATTGCTATTAGAAACATATATCGGATAAAATATGGTTGCTATATGTCTTAATTTCATCATAGCATCCGGAAAATAAACTGAAAAAAATCAATCTACTTAAAATTTTGAATGAAACTAAAGGAAGTTTGCAAAAATCTTGGGGAAAAAAACATTTTTTAAAATACACAATATTATATTGTTTACTTTCTTGTCGTAGAATACAAGGAGTAACCAGTTTTAAAGCTTTCATACGTTAAATAACGTTAAACACCGATTCCAAATCTGAATGTAAATATCTATTCCAAATATTGTAATACCTTTCTGTTCTACAGACTTGTTTTTTTTTCTTTTATAAAAAATTATTTCCAACCGAATTATTATATAAGTGCATTTTGTTGTTTTTAGGTATCAATTAGATCTAAAGAACAATATATAAAATAAACTACAAATCACGTTGAGAAATGGAAACAATGCAAAATCCATTCAATCAATGCTCAGACTATAGTGTCGGGAATTGGTCCTCTAGAAAGGCAATGCTTCTAACCTTAAAAGGCTGTCCAAGATGCTCGTATACGATCACAAGCAGCATCTTCTACCATTTTATGTATTTCCCTGCTTGCAAAAAGCTTGGTTCTCCAAGATCTTTTTTTTTTTTTGACATAGCTATTCTTGGCTTTGTTTTCAAGAATCGTTCATCTATATTATAATTAGCTGTTAAAAATAGCAAAATTTTTCGATTAAATTGAAAATTTCCCCGAAATATTTTAGCACAAATGTAATCTTTTTGCCCTGAAACAAAATTTCTTATTTCACATTTTCCCTCATGAAATTAAAAAAAAATTAAAGAATGCAAAAAGTTGACTTGCTTGATAAGGCATGCATATAATTTTATCGTAATAATATAGCACAGTATTAAAAAATAGGCGAATAACACCAAGGTGAGAAAATAATTTTTCTTAAATATGTTTAAGTGAAAATGTATTCTCTGTGTGTTATTGAGAGAGAGAGAGAGAGAGAGATAGAGAGAGAGGATTATTTTTACATGTAATGGTCGATATGCATGATACAAGCAATTAATGAAAGATCATTCATTCATTAACCGCTTGAGGAAAAATGTCACAAGTTAAACACGTTGGGGAAAAAAAAAATTAAATATCATTTTTGACAAATGAATTCATATGTACGCAATTTGTTTGTTTTTTTTTTTTAATATACTATGTGTGGGCTTTTAATGACATATGGGACCAATCAACACCAAAACTGACCAAAGTTTTATATCAAATATTTATTTGATATCTGAAAGAAATTCCTATATGAGCAAAGGAAAGTGATTACATCTTAAAACGTAAAGTTGAACATAACTGGTAAAAGCAAGAGAGTACAAGTTAAAGTTATAGATGCCATATTAGATTTCTGAAGACCGTCGATCTCAAGCCACTGTACAAGCCACACTTTGGTCAATTTAATGTTTTCGCTTTACGGACTTCACCTGCAGTGTCAATGTGTTATACTTGGATGCTATAAATTGACTTTTCATTTTCTCTTCTTTAAAGGTACTTAAAATTACACAGATTTGAACTTAATATTTTCCCAAATTTTCCCTGAAATGTCACACAAATTTTATATTGCAATAGCATTTCACACGAAAATACATTTTGATAAAAAAAACTTATTTTATCTTGAAATTATTCGAACTTTAAATGTCGAGAAACTTCGTTTGATTAACACATCCTTACACTTTCAAGAAACAATGGACACTAACTGTGTGATTCCCACCTACGTTTTACTTTCATTTAATTCAATATTAATGACAATTTGGCCATAAAATTCAGATTGAATACAAAGAACAGTTCAATGGTAATTGATTTGTTATTTTTATACCAGTCCCGGGGCCCGTAACATAAAGCTTGCTAAGATTTTGACTTACGTAGGGTCGTAAGTACCGTTTTGGCATAATCTTAGGACCTGTCTAAGTACTACTTAAGTATGCCTTAAACCGTAACATAAGGCGAACTAAGCTACGCTTTGCTAAGTCAAACTTATCATGGTAAACTTCTCGACAAGCAAGTTGTCAGCACGCCACGAACAATATGTGTTGTTTTCAAAGCCCCTCTCGAGAATTTTTCACTCATATGGAGACGCCAGCAAGTGCCGGTAGAGAGCTGCAAATTTTGCCCTATACTCGCCACTCAGGGCCATTGAGCTGAGAGGGATCTTTTTCGTACCAGCACCTGACCGATTCCCGTGTTCCACAATATTAATAGGATTCCAGCCTGCAAGGTAAAAATCAACTCCTTACTTCTCACCCAAGAGCAGACGTTCAACCACGGCACCACGGGGCAACCCCCGAACAGTGAAAGCCTTTAGGTCTTTTGCAATTTGCTCTATTGAGACATATGGATACATTGGTAAAGCTTGCATGCTGAGGATAATTCTTTACAGAAATGTTCTGAAAATATACATTCAATAAGGATTAAATAATGATAAAATATTAACTTGAACGGTGGTCTTTCAAGTAGGAACTGTGGCTATTCATATTTAACCCTTCGAAAATAAAAGCTACAAGTATTTTTTTTAGTACTTAGAAAGCTGTAGATCTACTACAATGCATGGAATAAAGACTGTAATTTAGATTTTGTATCATCAAACAATCACATACTAAAAGGTATTTTTTTACACGACCTCAGATTATCAGTGTACATTGATTACAATCATTCATGGCAATGAATATAAAAAAAATTACGACTTCTTAAAATTTGCAGTTCAAGGTCAGTTCTAAAACTTGATATATCTTATTTATCACTTTTATAAGACCTCATTTATAAAATACGCAACTGAAGTGTTTGTCGGGTGCTCTAGTTACGATTAAAAAAAACCCATAAAAATTGCAAATTGCGGCAACAAGAAGAGTCACTGGATTAAGTTCTTTGGCATCCCGAGATCCTCTATATTTCGAAACTAGATGGGAATTACTTGTTAGAAGAATGTCAAAAGAAAAAAAAACAACTATACGAGAGGTTATCAAAAGCTTCGTGGTGTGAGACTATAAATTTTGTACTATGTAGATTGTGCTTTCGAATTTCATAAGGAACATATAACAACATAAAATTAAAAAAAATTAACATTTTAGCTTGATACGTTTATTATTTGCCATATTATTATAACATAAAAACGACAATAAATGATCAACTGGCGCTGTCACCGTTTAGTTCCTCAAAATCTTGACATCCGACAACGTCATTATTTTTCAATGTCCGCATCTTCGCTAGCCACGGGTTTCTGATACGCTACTCTTCTTATTTGGAGAGTAGCATATCAGAAACCCTTGGCTAGCGAAGATGCAATGTCGGCTTCTTCTGCCTCTTACACTTACTTTGATGAGTTTCCCTGGAGCTGAGTAAAGACTAAACCCCGCCTTGTTTTATATGACTTTACAATGTCATGAAGAGCAGCTTTCAATGCATACAAAATCGCAAATGGATTTTTACAATGTGAGAGATCCTCGATTAATTATTCAAGTATATTTTGTTCTTTTTTTTTTTTTTTTTTTTTTTTTTTTGAGCTTAATATCTACAACACATGATGAACGTCATTTTTGAAGTGATTGAATTTTTACACCTTGATTTAAGTCGACATTAACTGTGCATGCCTTTTTCTGTCTAATTCTCAGTTGGCATTAAAGAAAGAATTTTGGACGCATTTTATTTCTCCGTAGCCATTTTATAAATTTCCTAGGTGTCTATACAAGTTTTATGCGTCATTTTGAAGGCCTAATATTTGTTTGGACACTCCATGTAAAATTTAGGAAAATTTTCATAGAACTTCTAGATGATGTAAAATTATATTTTATGGAATAATAGTGCCCCAACACATACCTGGATTGAGGGGATTTATGGATGTGAAATGTTCATATGAAAAAAGTCGTTCTTAGTTACATTTAGATCGAGGTTGCGCCGCCTGTAAAAGGCGATGCTTTCAAAAGCATTACTAATTTATTAAAAATAAAATTTTATGATTTGTTGTTTATTCTATTGATAGACAAGATGATGCTGACTAGATGTTTTTAAATTCATTGATTTACCTAAAGCATATTTAATTTGATGGCGCTAGTCCAAGAACTTTTTGATCTCCCTCGTATATATGTTTTAAATTTTCCATAGTATTTCACCCAAATATCTGAAAGAAATATTTCCAAACAATAGATCACTCGAACAAAAATTACATAATACGACAATCACAATCAAGTTATTGTACCCCTTAGTGTAGATTAAACATTTATGAATTATCTGTTGTCCCTGTGACAATAAAGGAATGGAACTCTTTTCCTCTTGAAGACTATCCACTACTGTAGGTCCCTTCAATAATTGTTAAATCTCTCACAGAACACCACACTACCCTTTTTTCCAATCGTTACTGGAATGTACATGTAATTCATACCACATTAAGGTATGTCACCGTGAAATTAGTTAAATCAAGGATTTTTTAGAAGTATATTTTGGATAAGTACTCATATAGAGTGACTCAAAATAGCAGAGCAAAAGGGGGCCATTGTTCATCTTACTGATCTACGGTACAATTAAGTTGACCTTTTGGCACTTAAATTCTAACTCTTTGGGTAATTACTTTAATCTTTATCATATTTTATCAGATGTAACCGTGGCAATAAATATGATTTTATTTTACGTAAACTATTTTGAACAATATTTATAATTGAACAAATCTTTCAAATTAATGCGCATAAATTATTGTGTGACCTTTTTGCACTAAAAAGTAATATATTTGGGGTATTGGAAAACTACAAAGGCAATAAAACATTTTCTTAAA